TTTAAATATTTTTATAATAATACACATCGTAGTTAACCACTTTCTAATAATATTGTCTTAAAAATTTAAAAAGTTTTATACACGAAATACTTACGAAATGGAATTGAAATATTACAGAAACATCTATAAAAATACAAAAACCCATGTATCTAAATAAGCTTATTAGCTAGAAATTTCAAACTTTGTGTCAGTTATTTATTTCGATATTCGATACCTATGTATCGAAACTAGTGATGTACGGTGAGAGCTTCATATCGAAAACGCGATTGCCGAAGGTGCCCCGATGCCGAAGGTGCCCCAGTCTCCCCTACAAATAAAATGCTTTAGACGACTAACATACTTTTAAAAGTTCTACTATAGTTTTTAACAGATTTAATTTAATTGTAAAATTTAGGTTCTCTGGATTCAGCATTTTGCTAAGCATATTTGGGAAAAATATCATTGGTCCAATAAAAATCTGAGTTTCAGTTCTATCGTTCAGCTCATCTATAAAAATTCCCTGACCTTCAATATCTTACGTTTCTGTCCCTAAAATGTTGGCCAAAGTTAGTTTCATTCATATCATAATTGTGACAATTACTATAAATATTTACAATAATATTATATATTGATACATACATACAGACAGGCATTTATCGACTCAGAAAGTTATTCTAAGTACATATATTCTCAAAAATAACAATGGGTCTAACTTGTTATTTTTAACCTGCACGATAGTGTGTTGTGTGAAATTAAAGCATAACGTGTATCAATTGTTAATTTACTGTATTAAATTTCTGCCAAATCCCTTAAAATACAACATTTTGTTTTTTTTTTTTAAATTATATTGACCCACGTTGGGCGCCATTAGGATTTATATAAAAATTCTGAATGTAAGCCCTTTTTCTGGATTATACGATTATATGCAGCGTGCAAGAAATAAAAAAACATCACATCAAGTAGAGAAAAATATGAAAAATAATTAGTCTGGCAAAGTAGATCTCCATCTTTTGTGTGGTATTGCGGGAACCAAAAAGCTGAATTAATGTACAAATAAATATAAATGCAAAGCTGGTAAAAATATCATATTGGTTTGGTAATCTAAAATCCAGATTAGATTCTTGCATGTTCAATAACCGATCTTTTATAACTTCAAATTCAGAGAAAATCGGATCAAGTCAAGTCCACTTCAGACATATCGTGGAACTTCTCAGATACGGACTTGTTGGAAATCATAGGATGATTATTTCCCCCGAAAACGAAGAAGGGAAGAGTTATGATTCTTCGTTTGCACTTATAAAATATGTAGTTACTTAGGCAGGAGGTCCGCTGCTAAAAACCTACAATGAGGCGTGATCGACCTAATGTGGTAATGTTTTATTAAAGAAATTCACAATCCACTTGAAAACACCAAAAAAGAAAATTTGATTGGTACGGTTATATGGGGATTACCCCAAATGTTGAAAAATTGATAAATAAATATTGGTAAGAATACGGGCTACACAATGCGAACACAAAATACCAAATTAGAGCCAATTTTTTGAAGGTGAGACTAATATCTTCCAATTTTATCATCACCATGCTATGTTAATTTTAATCTTGCCTTTAGCCTTATGAGGATATATACACTTTGCTACGTCAAAAATGTGCTAATCGAAATATTGGTTTTAGACCTCATCTTTCTTTGGACCAAATCCGTTTTAGACCATTTGAAGTTTATTTACGAATGTCCATCCATCCATCCGTCTGTCTGGCCGGCGGGTGCGCACGATAACTCTCGAAGGGAGTAACCGATTCAAACTTTGCACATAGTAATATTTCATCCTAACTATGTTTAAGTTCGAAGATGGCGAATATCGGTCCACTTCTTTTGGTACGTCCCACAAAAATGGTCAACATTTTGCTGAAAATTAATTTTATGATATCATGAACTATTTGTACAAAACTTTGCACCATATATTATTTTTACCTTCTGGTACCTTCCCCACAAAGCGTCAACATTTTTAATATTTATGAATCTAATATCAGGCGAATGGTATTTCCGATTTGCACCAAACTTTGCACAACCTTATCAAGCCCGGATCATGTTTGAAGATGGGACCCATTGGTCCACTCCTTCTGGTACCTCCCCCACAAAATGGTCAAAATTGGTCCACACCTTCTGGTACCTCCCCCACAAAATGGTCAAAATTTTGCTAAAAATTAATTTAATAATAACATGCAAACGGACTGTCCGATTTTAACTAAACTTTGTACAACCTATTATCTTTACCAAGCCTAAATCAAGTAGGACGACGGGACCCATTGATCCTCTCCTTCTGGCACATCCCCCATATATGGTCGAAATTTTCAATATTTATAAATCCAATATCAGGCGACTGGAATGTCCGATTTGAACCAAACTTTGCACAACATATTATCTTTACCAAGTCTAGATCAAGTCCGAAGATGGGACCCATTGGTCGACTGCATCTGGAACCTCCCACACAAATGGGCAACATTTTCAATATTTATAAATCTAATATTAGGTGAATGGAATGCCCGATTTGAACCAAATTGCACAACCTTTTATCTTTACCATGCCTAGATCAAGTCCGAAGATGGGACACATTGGTCGACTACTTCTGGAACCTCCCACACAAATGGTCAACATTTTCAATATTTATAAATCCAATATTAGGTGAATGGAATGCCCGATTTGAAGCGAATTGAACAACATTTTATCTTTATCAAGCCTAGATCAAGTCCGAAGGTGGGACCCGTCTTCCTTCTCCTTTGGTACATCCTACGAAAAGTATCAATATTATATATTTGATCAAAATCCGAATGTACACGGTTAAAAATACTTATTTCAGGTTCACGATTTATTATGGTCACTACTGTATCATTCGATTTAGGGTTTGCCAATTTATTTTGTTGTGTTGTGTCTCCCGTTTTACGGGACACCCTACACTAATTCAAGAATGTCCCTATAAAATTTCATTTCATTTCATTTCGTTTTTCTCGAAACAGAAGCGGGCACAATAACTTTAAAACTATCATCTAATAGCTATCGTATGATCTAGGATAAATCTAATAAGTGAAGATCTTCCTTGTTATTGAACTTAATTTGTGATAAAAAATAATCGATTTTTCAAAAAAGAAAACATCAAATATACGCAATTTGGTTAATGTTCGTGCTAAGTCGATAATTCTACTTCATACGAAATTTTTGGATTCCGATGTTCGAGTGAGGACTTATCTTTAATCACAAAAAACAGCAAAGTTTTGTAAAATTATATCTTTTCAATCGTCAAACAGTCCATTGAAAGGCATGCAAATTTAAAGTCGAGGATCCCTAAGTCGTTACTGAGGATTATTATGGATTTAAATCTTTTAACTTATATATGCTGATATTTAATATATAATCGTTTTTTTATTTTTGGACAGAACTGAAATGACCCCACATTGGGCGCCATTGAATCTTATGCAAACATACTGATTCTTTTCATATTTGACTTCATCTTCAGAGAAATATTATTCATCCATTTTGTTACATAAACTGAAAGTGACCCCACGTTGGGCGCCAATGTTATACAAAGATACTTCTTTCGGACCTATTTTTTTCTGCCATTGACCTATGTCAATGCCAAAATGTTTAAAATTTCTGATATCCATCTATGTTTTTTTTAATACATTGGAGACTCTGTTGGGCTTCAGAGAAACAGGTTTAATCCAGATTTTGTTAATGTATTTTATAGACGAGTATCTTCAGATTTATAGCAGTCAAAGTTTGACTTATTTACAACACAAACATTTAAATACAAATATTGGTTTATTAAAATGTCCATAGTTGGAATTTCTTTAAAAAATTGGTAGGGTTAATAAAATTCCATCAGTATCTATATTGACGTCATTCCAAGCAAAAATCTTATTAGCAAACTATTAAATTTATTACCCTAAACGCCACGAATATAACGGTTTTCATTGCAACAACAAAAAACAGTGCCAAACAACTTGTTGTAGCGTAATTTCATGATTGAGTTAGGTACCAAACACTCAGCATCTTTCGGATTTGTGATCTCTGTCTAATAACAACAACAAACAAACGAACCATAATCTTCTCCTTAAGAATATTCATTGCTACTTAAAAACAAAGAGTAAATGAGCAAATGCTCATTCAACTCTTGAGTAACAAAATGTACACTGGGTTTATCCAATGAGAGCTCAATTGATCGGTAAAGCAAAACAACTGAATGGTCGGTCGGTCGAATGTGAATGAATGTGATTGAGTGAATATTTTGTGGGGATTCACTCGAGAAAAGGCAGAGATTTGCAATTGTGTGTGCAAGGTGTTCATTCTCATACACACACACACAACAAGGAACAGAGGCAGGCAAACTAGTAATGCGATGAATGTATGGGTGTGTGTTGGTATGTATTTACATGTTCGAAGCCCAAATATCGAAGATAACAGTAATAGAGGCAACAGCAGCCAACCAGCCAGCCATTGGTAGTGGTAGAAAACAATAGAGCCAGCCAAAACACACCGGCAGTAGGATAAACACACACGGACGGCAAATAAGGCAAAACTGATTTCTGGTGTGTTGTGCTGTGTTGTGCGTCGTACACCAACGGGGTTCTTGAAAGCACCCTCATACCCTAGTGTCATTTGTCAATCAGTAAGCAAACGCAACGGTAGTCAGGAGTCGCAGTCGTGAACGGCCGTGTTTTCTGCGAGCGATTTGTCTATTTTGTTGTGACAGAAAATAATAATAGAAGAACTAAAGAAGAAGTTATGAAAAATTAAACGAAAATAATTTTGCAAAGAAAAAAAAAATATTTGAAAGGAAATGCAATAGCAAAAAAATATTCATAAAGAAAAGAAAATGAAAATTGCATAAAAGTGAAAAAAATAATGGATTATAAATTTTGAAAATAAAAAGAAGCTAAAATATATCCATTAAGAAACCGTTGTATGAAAAAGTGTTTAAAAAATTTAAAAAGTTTTGAAATTAAAAAAAAATCTAAAAGCAAATAAAATGGAATTTGAACAACGTGTACCCTGTATTGAAGGTACCACCGATATGTCCTGTGATAAATGTCACATTTGTGCCAATAATCAAAACCACCTGTCGTCGTCGTCCTCTTGCCAAACCCCCAATACAACAACAACAGCCCAGCCTAGCAGTGCCAATACCAGCAGCATGGAATTTAATAGCAAATTCCAATGGCTACCCGGCAGTTCTAATTGTGGATTAAGTTCGTCGTCTTCGTCATCTGCATCATCACCTTTTACTCTGCGTCGCATTTGTATGCTGTTGCTGGTGGCCAGCCTCTTTACAACGGCCGCCGGTTGTGGTCCCGGCCGGGGTATTGGCGGCCCTCGACGCAAACGAAAACTAACACCATTGGTGTTCAAACAGCATGTACCAAATATGTCGGAACAAACATTGGGCGCTTCGGGCGTCAGTGAGGGTGCCATTAAAATCGATTCACCGAAATTTAAAAAATTGGAATTTAATAATAATCGTGATATCATCTTTAAGGATGAGGAGGGCACCGGAGCCGATCATGTTATGACAAGGGTAAGTTGCAAGATTTTTTTTTTAATTCTTTTTATTTTTGTTGTAAATTCTTCTTTTAAAATGACCTCAGTTATCTTATCTTGTGGAGAGCGTGATAGCTTCGGAATACTTGAACTTAATCGATTTAACTTTAGATAAGGCTATTAAATAATATATTAAGTGGAAGTGTGTATATATGTATGTATATAAGTATATATACAATCTAAAGCTTCAGTATATTGGCTGTATGTCTGAGAGGCCTGCTGCTGCTCTATTTTATTTATTTATTCTTCCATTGAGGGGCATTAAACTTTATGGGGTAATAATAAAAAATTATTAGTAAATAGTAATTTTTATATGTGTGTATGTATGTATTAATATTAAAGAGGCTATAGATTATTTACAATATGAAAAATAGGGAAGGAAGTTCTGGTCAGCTTAGGGGGTATTTAAAATAAAAAAATACATTTATTTCTTACGGGCGGGAGGATCAGGTGTCTAAGACCATTAAAATTTGAAATGCCAAAATTTAATCCTCATGGATATATTGGTCTTTATTTCGGAAAAAAGTTCGGGAAAAATTCTGAAGTTTCAAAAAAAATATCCTCCTAAATTGAAAGGATTAAAAAAACAAGCATATGTTTTGGCTTCCAAATACTCTTAAGAGGACCCTTATATAACGTGTGAATACATGGGTCCCCAAGGACTTTGAGAAAAAAATCGGAAGGCACAAAATACATGCGTCCAACTCACGTGGATAAATTTTTGAATAAATAAAATAATTTTCAAAATATTTATATTTTTGACCTCCAAATAAATTGTGTCCTGTAAAGGACGCGTGTCTGTTTGACATTTTTGCTTACTTAACGGTAGTTGAAATATCAAGGATACAACTCCAAAAAAAGGTAACCATTAATGGTGTCAAACAGTTTGTCAATCTCAAAACTCATAACTCCAAAAACGAGGACAATTGTCAAAAGGACACACATTTAACATCAAGGTTGTATGGTCTTTATAATCTCTATGTTCGTAAACATAACTACCAGTCTGGTAGCATGTCCTTTTTGGTCAAGGATAAAAGTCACACGACACAATGAAATGGCAAAGTAGCAACAAGTAGAACAAAACAGCAAAACACACACATTTATTTACTGTAACGACCTCGAATGTCCAGCGCATAACAGTTCACATAATGTCAATGACATTGGCAATGATGTCCTGTGTAAGGATATTCCTGCTCAGTTTGAATGACATAGGAAAAATTGTGGCAATTTGGTATGGCAATTTGATTATGATATTCAGGGTCATTTTACAGTAGGGAGTTATTGAAGAGCATTGTCCTTTTTTCAGAAGGAACAAATATCCTAATCAAAATTATAAAAAGGGTTCTGATTTTCTGGAAAATTCAATATGTTTAAGAAATTGTTAGCATTTGAGAACACTTAAGAAACTGTAAAAATCATATTATTGTGTAGGATTTTATTCTATAGAATCTGGACGTGTTCGAAGTCCTGTGATTAGTATTTTTCCTTTAGTTTAGGAAAGAAAATATCCTTGCCAAAATGATTTGAATTTTAAATTTTGAATAAGATTAAAATTTTGATAGTATATGAGGTCCTTATTGTGAAGGATTATATTCTATTAGAATCTTAACAATCTCTATGGCCTCTCATTATGATATCTTATATTTCATTGAGGGCCTCTTTTCCCCCTCCCAAAACTCTCTTTCCTTTTCGAAAATATATGTATGTATATTCCAAAATCATTTTAGAAATATTTCGAAATTAAAACAATAAACATCGAAATCAGAACATCCCAAAAAATTCAAAAATATGACACCAAATTTCATACCAAAGAAGGCTTACCGAAGTAGGGGTAGGATAGGGGGTAGTACAATAATCTGTCTTAAAATAAGCTTTCTAATGCGATGCCGTCAATTTTAATTTGTTAATGTATAACAATTTTGACATTTCTGCTGTCAGTTTATATCAATCACAAAAAACAAAAGAAGATGCCCTGTGGAGGGAATGCTGGTGATGGCGTTAAGCCTGATTTTGTGGGAAACAAAATCTGGCCCGGTTTTTTAGATGTTGATGTTATGATAAATATTTTTTATGGCTTCCTTTGTTTATTTGTTTTCATCTCTTATGTGTTTATAATTAATATTTATCAAGAATACAGCAAGAAGCCAGAAGAAGTGGCAATAAATGTCAAAATAAATATTTTTTATAGTTGCAAAAAATTCAAATTTCCAACAACAAAAATATTTTCTGTTACCAAATCAATATTTTGTATTAGAATGATTCATTTGTCTTATTTTTCAATTTTATTGCGCCCCGTTAATTAATTGTTTATATCACAATTTCATTTGTTTGAATTTACAAATTTTCCTTTCAGAAGCTTTGTTTATTTTTTCTTGCCTTATAATTGAAATTCAATAAATAAAAAGAAGAGGAAGAAACAAAATATTGATCTCATTCGAATAATAAACAATTTGTATTGGAAGAGAATTAATAAAGCTAGATTTTTGTTTATAAATAAACGATGAGGAAGCAGCTAAAAAAATATTTTCAAAAAAAACTCATTAGAAGAAATTGAAACTTTGATTAAAATCTAAATATTTTTTTTTCAATTTCTTCTTCTATTTTTTTATTTTCCTGCTCTTGACCCCCAAGCGAAACTGAAGAAGTTTTATTTCATATTAAAAACAAAATAAATTATTTATTGTCCGTTGGTATTGTAATAAAATGCAGGCCACAAAAGCCCCACATTAAAAGTGATTTAGTGGCCATAGAATTGCTGCAACAACAACAAAAAAATCACCACAAAAATAAAATACTAAAAAACTGAACTCATAAAATGAGCTCAAATTACAAACAGAATGTAAACACCTGCAGTTAAGGAACAAAAACAAAATAAATCTCAGCTTTTTCATACAACCCCAAAAGAAAAAAATTGTAATATTGTCACATAGTCAATTAATGGAGTAATTAGATCCCTTTCCTTTTTTGGTTCAACAATTTAACAACGGAAGCGAAAACTTATGAAAACGGAAGAAATCAAGGAACCCTTTTTATTTAAATATTAAGTTCCATATGAACAAAATTGAAAAAATAAAAGAAAAAATCAGGTTAATCGTGAGCCCTTTAAGTTACTTCTAAACTCTTCCTTTCCTTTAAAGGCAACTAGCAACCACACTTAAGAGCTAGTAATGAAGTATTTTTGTGCTAAGCTCTTAATGTGTCATCACAATGTGTTAACTCCCTTGAGTTTATGACTCACAGAGAAATCACTTAAAAACTGGTGGTGCTGAGCTCTCTCTCTTCCTCCCCATGCAACTACTACTCTCCCTTTCTCTGCACACTCCCCTTTCCATTTTTGAAAACAACTGATCATTGGTACCCTGTCTTTGTTTTGTGTTTTTTAACACCCCTCTATCACACACACACATGCACACCCATCCACTTGTATCAATCGCCAATCTCCTGTAAGTCCTTCGTTTCGTTTCGTTTTTAATATTATTCTGTAAGTAATACGGAGCCACCAAACTACTATGTGTGTGGCCAACGTCATTCATGTTAGTAGGCACGAGCATAAGTACCTGAGATTTCCTGTATTACCGCATGATACTAACTTTAGTAAGTATTTTAATGATATTAAATTAAACAACATGCCTAATGTAATGGTGATGTGCCTTACGGAATACACAAACATCGGGAGAGCAGAAGTAGTTTGCTATTTTTAGAAATAGATGGAATAGACCATAGGATTTATAATGATGATGATGACCATAATTGCTTACATTGTTACTTTTGCTGGGATATGGCAAACCATTAAATTTATAATTGGTTTTTTGAGGAGAACAGATATGGTCCTTTGTCAAGCATCTCTGGGAGAGACACATTATTACAGTAAAAATGTAAAAGAAACAGCAGAGAGTTTTGTTTTTCATGTTAGTAATCATGATTGTGCTATTGATGGTCACATCACAATAACAATCACGCAGAAACAAGCAGAACAACAACTCAACAGTGAACTATTAGCAACAGGGCAACGAGAAAGTTAAACCCTGTTGTAATTACCCTGTGATAGTGTGATTGGGCTTATTTCCGCTCTAACACTCTGTTGATTTCTCTCACAACATGTCATGATTACAGTGAAAATATAAAGGCAGAAGAAGAGAGCTTTGTTTTTCTTTCATGTTAGTAATCATGATTTTGTTATTGTTGCTCACATCACAATAACAATCATGCATGAACACCAACAACAACATAGCAGAGCAACAGTATCAACAAAGCTCCGTTATACTGACTCTGTGATAGTGTGATTGATTTTTTCTCCTCTATTTCTCTTGGTTCTCGCCATTAAGTGTATGAGAGCAGGGGCATGTTCAACATTGTTACGTTCAATGCAAACAGTTCTTATAAGACTAACTAGATAATAAAAGGAGAAGAGAGCTTAACTCTCTATAAAAGACATGTCAAACGGTTTTATTACTTTCTCTCCATATGTTATAGCAACAAAAATATGTAATGAAGAAAAAAGCAAAATAAAATAAATATAAGTGATGCCAAATGATTTTTTATTTCAAATAAATATTACAAAAATAAAACCTATAAATATTTTAGAAAAATAAAATTAAAAAAAAAATCTCCCAAAACAAAAGACTTAAGAAACAAACACTTCAAAATATTTCAAATCGATTTTTCTTTGCTTTTTTAAAGCCACAATAAACCGGCTTCTTTACGCCTATCAAAATTAACTATTTCACAACAAATAGCACAACCCATGAAAGCAAAAAAACAGTCCTAATGACTGTGTGACAAATTTTCTTTGTTATAAATATGGTCAAAATACCACAACATAGTGGAGAGATTGAAAACCACATGAAACACTAAAAATATGTGCTATTTTACAAAAAAAAATTTGTGTGTGGTTGTGTATGGTTAGCTATGGCAAATTGATTTTTACGCTTAGCATTTTATTTGTGTGTTTGTTACAAATAATGGGAAAATTGTTTGCACACAAATTCTGGAATTCTTTGCCCTTTTAAAGGATTCCTAATGGACATGGACAAGGCCGTTAATAATTGATTTTTGTGGTTGAAAAAATTGGTTAAAGAGAAGTTTGAATTATATTTTTTCTTAGGAAATGTTCACTAGTTTTGTAATTTACAGGGCCAAAGGAAAAAGGATAAGAATGGATTACTTCTGCTAAAGGAATTTTTATCAATTTCTCTGATTTTTTTTAACAAATGTCGGCATTGTATTAAAAGAGAAATATTTTTTCGTTAAATTCCAATATTTATTCATTCGTTTAGAAAGGGATAGTATTTGTTTTTTTTTTTTTTTAATTGATTTCCTCCTTCATCATCATCTTGTTTAAATAAATGTAAACCTTTTTCTGTGTTTCGTGATTTTCTTGAGAAATCCCAAACCGTTTAACCAATGTCCAAGCGTACTTTTTTTTGGTCTTACGCCATTGTGTAAATATTGGTTTTTAAATGCATTCTTACAAACACCCTAAATAAAGAAAGAAGAACACCTCTGAACATTACCTTGGCCATTAGAAAAGGGTCGCGAGAAGAATTTGTTTAAATGATTTTCAAAATTTTCTGATGGGCGCATCAGATTCAAAGGGGTTTTATTTATTTGTTTACTGTTTGTTGCTTAGGTCTTTTGTTGGAACAGAGTGATTGATTTTACATCTAAAACATTTTTAATATTTAAATTTAAAATATATATATATATTATTATTTACGTTTGTGTCTTAAGTCTTTTGATTTATACAATATTATTTTTTAAGTTGGTGTCTTAAGTCTTTTGTTGTTTATTCTATTTAATTTATTATTTTTTGTATTTTTTTAATAATTTTTGTATTTATTTTTAATTTTTAGCGCTGCAAAGAAAAGTTAAACACCTTAGCCATTTCCGTGATGAACCAATGGCCCGGTATTCGTCTACGTGTCACCGAAAGTTGGGTGGAGGAACAGTTACCCTATACCAATTCCCTGCATTATGAGGGTCGAGCTGTGGATATCACAACCTCCGATCGGGATCGCAGTAAATATGGCATGCTGGCCCGTTTGGCTGTGGAGGCGGGTTTCGATTGGGTCTACTATGAGACCAGGGCTCACATTCACTGCTCCGTTAAATCTGGTAAGTTTCACAACAAATTACAAACTTTAATTTTCAATTTAAAAAATTCAAATCCTTTAGTCCGGAAAGTGTTAATAATCGAGTGTAAAAAAGTCACACCAATTTTCTTTTTATTACCTTGTAATTGCTGATAAATGGCGGTGATGTTTCGAAATGTTGCCTTATGGTCGATGTTTTTCAAAGGAATTGTCACTAACAAGCCTTGACGTTTTTTTTGCATAATTTAACATCGATTACCTCAAGATGTGATTCTGCGGAATTCACAGATTCCAAGTAGCTACTAAATAGCTGGCCGAACCAGGCCTTAACTACGGCTTTAGGCGTAAATTAGATTTGTGTATTCATGCAAATCCAAATCAATTAGAAATGCTTAGCATTCGGTTTAGAAATGAACTGGAAAAAAATACTGGACAGTCTGTCAGATGAATGGTTTCTTGTCTTGTGGCTAAACACTTTTCTTCTTAAGACAAAGCGGGGAAAAAATTACCGTAGAAATATCACACCGCTGTGTTGTGGTTATTTTTTTTCTTTGACATGTTTCTGCTTTGTGCCTGTCAAATTAAGCGACACCCAAAGAGTTTCTCAGGCCCGACGAAGAAGAACAGGAACGACACAAATTCCAAAGAAGTAAAAAAAAACGAAACAAAATAAAAATAAGAACACGCTGAGAACCTAAAAAGAAAAACAGAATCCACTAGCATCCGTTTGTAGTAGCAGCCATGGCACTTAAGCTTCGTAGCATATTTAAAAAAAAAAAAAAAAAAAAAAAAAAATGCGCTTTCATAGGCATTCATGTAATACACGATGTGGCTCCTGATGACTTTTTCCATAAGACTTGAGAAGTTAACCTAAGGTTTCTGGTTGTTAACAAAAAAACCACAAAAACCGGAATGTTTTTTTTAACAACAACAAAAAGATGCCAGCTTAAATATCGGCATCATCTCTTTGTTACTGTTGGAGCATCGTCTTCCTCTTGTTTTCTATAGGCCGGTAAAAATACATGATAACCAAAATAAGAGAAAAAAAAAAAACAACCAACAACAACCATTTTTATCCAACATGCTTCATTAACAATGTGTTTAAAAATACCTGTTTTTGGAAAGAAGAATAGCAACAACAAAGATATATTGACTACAAATATAAAAACAAGCCAGCCAACCAACCAACCAGCCATCATCATCATCGTTATTACCATTAAACAGCATCTTCTTCTTCTTCTGCGACTTCTTTGGTTTTGTGGTAAATTTAAACTGGCTTAAAGCAGAAGTCGATGAAGAAGAGGCATCCAACTAACCCATTGGAAATTAATTTTAAAGCCTGTTTTAACAACAAAACAACAGCCATATTATACCAATGCTGATCTTCTCCTTGATCACATGCCAAAGACAACAGCAACAATAAACCACCAATTGCACTAACCAAAAAAAAAGAGAATTGAAAAAAATAAAAATTTCCAACCCAAGTTCGTGAGATCCCCGAGATTTGTTTGTTGCTACACGACGTCCCAAAAAAAGTACAAAAAAAAAAACTTGTTCATACAACTTGTATAAAACTGCTGCTAAAGACAGAATGGATGGACAGACAGCCAACCGACTAAGCATCCAACCAGCCAGCCAGTACTGAGAGCTAGACCGACAAACACCATTTGCAGACATGTTTTGTAAAGTTATTTTTGGGAGCAAAAGGCAGAAGATTAAAAAAAAAAAACAATCACAAGTACCTATAGGGCCCTCTCATATCACCCTGTATTTCGAAAACCTCTATTGGGTGCTCCATTGTCAAAAGGCCTTTTATAACTCCTTCATAGCCAGAAGATGAAAAAAATTATACCTTCAGGCGGAATATATTTTACATATCTTTGACAGGAGTTCATTAGGCCGTTTACTAGTCTTTTGGTATGTAAAATAAGTTTTATGGTCACTTAGAAGTCAGTTTTTGAGGTAGAATACCTCCTATCGAACTTCTGTTTCCTTTCCATTTTAAATCCTTTTTAATATATATGACCCTGCGAAACACATTTCTGTAGATCTCCATAGAAAAAAATCTTATCTAGAAATTTAGTCTTTGAAAAGTCAGAATCGCTAGGTCCTCAATTATATTTCTAAATGAATACCCTCTGCGGATCTTCTAGTAAAAATCTAAGATCTTTTATAGATATAAAATCCTTTTTAATACACAATACCCTACAGACCTATTTTTGGTTCTCCATGGAAAAATATTTTTTTAAATTAATTAGATTGTCTTTGCCTTTGAAAATTCGGAATCGTCAGGGTCCTTAATTATATTTCTGAATAGGAAATAATTTCACTTCCTTTAAAATATCTCCTTAATTTTTCTCCTAGGGCTCTCCTGGAACTTTGACTTGTAACTTCCCAGGCAAGGCATCAAAACAAGTCAAGTCTGTACCGAAAAAAAAAAACGATTTTGTTAAGCCAAAAATCTCACCAACCCACCAAAAAATTAATCTTGCCGTATGGCACGCTTGCTCTATTAATCCCAGCTTGGGTTGGATTATGGCTAATCTAATTTAGCATTAATAATGTCCACCGACAAAAAGGAGGACCTTCTTTTCCTGAACTCTCCAAAAACGACCTTTTTCCTTCGCCTCTCTTTCTCTCCCAAAAAAAAATTGCAATCCTATTATTAGAGTCAAAAAGCCTTTCACAGTTGCCCTTTTGCCATTTTTTCTTGTATATCCTTATCCTTTTCATGGTGTGGTTTTCTTTTCTTTTGTTGTTGTTGTTTTTATTTTACTCAACAAGCTTAGAGAATAGGGTGTAGGCCTTCCTTCTAACAAATGGCATATCAATATCAGTTTCCTTGCCGTGTGCAAGGATTTGTTTGATGAGGTATTCGGCTTCGTTTTTTTTTTTTTTTTTTGTAAACTGATCTTGTTTTCTCAAGAGATTAGGGTCTTTATCTCGCTCTCTCTCTCTCTTTCTTCATCTCACATTTGATTTCATTGTGAACTCGAGCCACAAAACAAAACAGATTATCGTAATAAGGAACCTATGCTGCAATTGTAATCCATATGTATGAGGTGGGTTCGATTACCTGTGTCAAACCAACCATAGATGGAAAAAGGTCTCGTAAGCCAATTGTAATACCTTGTCCAATTTTCTCAGCTTCGCATTTTTTGGCAATTTTTTTTTTCTGTTTGTTTCCTAGGGGCGTTTTCTTTATCCTTGTTATAAATCAAAATATTTTTGAAAACAAAAAAAATGTTCTCAAACAATTTTGACATGTGATCTTGATAGGCCAAAACGGAGAATCTAAGTAATTGTTTTTAACAGGCCACCCATGTTATTACACCATTTTTTAAAATGTTATTAGAACCTTTTTTTAAAACCCATTTTTGAGACCATTTTTTGTTGCCCCCATTTTAAATCAAAACTAACAACGCCTCCTGGCAGACAACAAAAGATAGACATACCAGTTTTTCTTATCATTTTCCCATTACAATTTTTGTTGGCCACAATTTTTTCCTATTGTGTTGGTAACGGTAATTCAATACGAAATTTTTTTAAGACACATGGTGTGAAATCCATGACGATCGGAAAGCTGTTAACCACATACCTAGGAAGCATTTTAGGCTGAAAGTTGTCTCATAAATTAACCAGCCATTATTTTTATCGATTTTATTTGGCCCCCAAATGGCAAATGATAAAATATTACAAAAACATAGCCAACAAAAAACCAGTTAAGCGATCATAAATGGTAGTCATTCAGAAGACTCTGGGCCAATGAGGTAGTTTTTTGACCCATCTAGATATTCCATAAGCCATGAATGTCAGTTTGAGAAGAGAAAAAACTGATCGCCCGACCTCTAGGACAGTGATAAGAATCGGGACAAAAAAAAAACACACACACACAAATACACTCAACAAAAAAGGGTCAAATGTCATTTTAAAGACCACACACACACATTCAGTGGGCATTACATTGACACAATTGGCGGTGGGATCAAAGATCCACAATTGTTTTAAAGATCCTTTTTTTAAAGGATCAATATTTTAAGTCAAGTGTCAAGTGATATCTTTGGGTCATTGTAAAGTGTCACAATATTTTGTGTAATATTTGAGGTTTGGTAATTTGTCATAATATTGGTGTTGTTGTTTGTTTTTTTTCTCTAATTTTTTGCCGCCTTTGAAATCGAAATTCCTTTTTGGGAGAAAATTAAAAAAAAAAATAAATTAATGAATGAAGGAAAGACTGAGAATAGATTTTTTTTGAATGGGAAAACATTCACAAGGAGTCGATTCGAACATTGTAGTAGTCCACGAGGACTATAGAAGGTCCTCGAAGCTCAGAGCCATATGAAAAGTTTTTTGTTATAAAAAATATCTATAGAAAGGTTTTTATGGTCACAGGATCTTCTTCACCTGGATGACCTAATAGATACTCATTTTTTAGGACTTCACTACATAAAAATACAGTCTGTGGGTCTTCAAGATATAAGTGGCATCATTTCTACACAGCAGCAAATTTTTGGGCGACTTTTTACTCATTTAATAACACCTTCCCAAAAATTTTAATCAAAAACTTATTTTTTATTAATTTCAATTACTAATCAACAATTTCCCCCTCTCTTTCCATTTCCAGATTCCTCTCATACACCCCATGACAGTGGTTGTTTTACCAAAGACAGTACCGTGCTAACATCGACCGGAGAACGTAAGGCCATGACCGATTTACGCATTGGCGATCGTGTGCTGAGCATCAACGAACAAGGTGAAGCGATATATAGTGAAATTATACTCTTTATGGATCGTAATATGGATGAGGCCCAAGAATTTGTGCAAATGACCACAGAGGGAGGAGCCATTCTCACTGTGACCCCGGCTCATTTGATTATGATTTGGAATCGTGAAAAATCGGTGACAGAATATGTCTTTGCTGATCGGGTACAGGAAGGAGATCAGGTATTCGTACACGACTCCACTGGGGTCCTAAGGCCACAACGTATTGTCGATTTGCGTGCGGTATTGAAACATGGCTTCATTGCCCCATTAACAAAAGAAGGTACAATTGTGGTGAATTCTGTGGCGGCCTCATGTTATGCTGTCGTCAATAGCCAGTCCTTGGCCCATTGGACTTATGCCCCTGTAAGAATATGGTCAATGTTGAAATCGTATTTACCCTCAAGCTCATCCTCCAAAACCGACACCACAGCTCAAATGCAAAATGGTGTCCATTGGTATGGCAAGACTTTGTATGGCATTAAAAATTATCTAGTACCTAAGTCATGGAGGCATTGATGAGAGGGTGGGGAGGTCCGAACAGGAATGCAACTTTATGAACTTCTTCTTCTAGTTAACTGGTTGATTGTTTGTTAAGTGGTGGTTGCCTGCTATTCAAAACTAGGCTATAAGTAGGAAAAACGAAAACAAACTATTGAAATTTTTAATACCTGAAAAATCGAAAACAGAAAACAAATCAAAATGCGCATGCGCTTAATATTCTCTATAAAAAAATTAAAAATAGATAAAAAATAAATTCAAAAACAAAAAAAAAACTGGATTTGAGTTGAGTTCATATCCTTGATAAGAAAAAACAAGCCCGGTTTTGAAATCACATAGAAATTGTAAATTAATTTAAAATTCAATGAAAAAATAATTAAAAACAAAACAATAGATCCCATAAAATTGTAAATTGTTGAAAAAACTATTTAATTAAAAACAATAAACAAAAATATATTTTTGAGTGATACAAATGAAACCAATCAAAACGAAAACAAAAAAAACGAACTCTGTAAATATGTATGTATGTAGCTGACAAAAAAAATATCTAGATGTATTTAAATTAAAAATATTGAAAAAGAAGAAAAATCATTTGTATTTAAGTCATATTAGGTGTGTATAAAAAAGTAATCAATTAATTAATTTAATTTATAAAAACAAAGAAAACGCGTGCGTATGTTCGAATTATTTAAAATTCAATCTACTTATATGTTGTATATACTTATCGTTTCTATTTAATCGAATTCTAACTATTTTTCTCTTTCTCTATAAAATATTATTTATATAATTTATTATTATTATTTTTGCATCGATTTTGTTTTTCTATTGAATCAGTAATACTATTATATTTTTTTATTATACAAAAAAAAAAAAAACAAACACACACAAACAAAATACTAATTTAATGAAAAATAAAATACGAAAAAATCAATTTAAAAAATCAAAATAAAATTGTTGTTTTTATTTGTATACGAAACAATGGGGGGAAATGGTTTCTGCTGGAAATGTGAGTAAAATAGGGTTTTGAGGTTATTGCTTTTATAACATATTCGCTATCTGTTGGGGCAATTATTTATAGTCCACAAGCCCACTTAAAGGGTGGTATTGAAAAAGTATATAACCGTCGGTTAGTATATGAATCATTGTTCGGCATTACAGATTCATATAACGTAATAACTTCTGCATCAAATATTCGTTGAAATAGTGAGCTAATATGTGCCGAGAGTTCACCCATAAGAACTCTAAAAAATGGGTTGAGGCGTCGTGTTAGTTGCCCACACTCGGAAAACCCCTCCTACTATGAAAAAGTAGAGAAAAAGAAAACCAAACCCTCGAAAGAGAAATTAATAAAAAACATTTACATGAATGATCCTTCGCCCTAAGAAGGCATAAGAACAAAACTCAAACCCCCTAATTTTGACGACCCCGCAAACGTATAAAGGACCACAATCTGCTAATCAGCACTTGGAATGTCCGCACCTTGTACAGAACAGGTGCAGTTTTCGCTTTGGCGGATGAACTCAAGAAGTACAAAGCCGATATTATTGCCTTACAGGAAATGTGATGGAAAGGTACTGGCGTAAATAAATCAGACGATTACGCACTGTATTATAGTTGCCATGAAACGAGGAGAATAAAATACCTCGTCTCCAGATTCACTCCAGTAGATTAGCGAATTGCTTCTACATCAGTATTATTTGCGCCCATGCTCCGACCGAAGACAAAGATGAGCAGACCAAAGACATATTTTACGAGCGCCTAGAAACAGCATATTGATTGACTTCGTGGCAGCAAAAACATGGTAGTTAGCAGTACCAGATTAGATTATACACAAGGCCACCTGGATTTCTCCTGATCAAGCAACGATAAATCAAATTGATCATGTTGTTATAGATGGAAGGCATTCATCCAGTGCATTAGACGTATGATCGATCCGAGGAGCGAATATCGATTTGGACCACTACCTTGTAGCAGCCAAGGTTCGCACTCGTCTTAATGTTGCAGCAAAGGTGCGATCTAAAATAACACGGAAACACGACGTCGAAAAGCTGCAAACACAACAGGTAGCCGAGGCTTACTCCGCTCAACTTACCCACCTGCTTGACGAAAGCACTTCTTGTCCCGATAATAGTATAGAAGCACAATGTGCAAAGAATTGCCCACTCCCTACATACTGCAGCGAAAGCAACACTTGGGTACCAAAAACCACCACCAAGATACCCATGATACGATCAGGTGTGTCGTAATCCTACTGATGTAAAAACCGCAGCGTATAGAGCAACCCTGCAGACCATAGGAACATGTAATGTGATGGAGAATTATCGAGAGAATAGGAGAGAGGAGAAACGTGTTTTCAGAAAAAGAAGAAGGAACAAACTATTCAAGACTGGTTCTCAGATGCTGCTCAGGAGCATGCATAAAGCTGATTAGTAAAATTTGGCCACAGAATGATTGGGAACTCAGCATCGTGTGTCCCGTGCACAAAAAAGGAGCCAAAACGATATGTGCCAACTATAGAGGAATTAGTCTGCTTGAGCCAATCGCATATAAAGTGCTTCCAGTGTGCTGTGTAAACGATTGAACCCAATGGTCAATGACATTATTGGACCATACCAATGCGGCTTCAGACCTTGCAAATCCACCATTGACCACATTTTCACTCTGCGCCAAATCCGGGAATAGACCCATGAAAAACACATCGACACATACCACCTATTCGTCGACTATGAAGTCGCATTCGACGGCCTTATCCGCTCAGAGGTGTTTAAAGCCATGTCTGCGTTCGGCATTCCTGCAAAATTAATACGGCTATGCAGGATAACTTTAAGTGGCACAAGGTCGGCAGTTAAAGTCGGAAAGGACCTATCGGAGCCCTTCAATACCGAACGAGGATTCAGACAAGGTGACAGTTTGTCATGAGATCTTTTTAACACCCTGCTGGTAAAAGGTAATTCGAGATGCAAAGGTGAACAGAAATGACACTCTGTACTCCTAATGGGTCGAACACTGAGATCGGTAACAGCCACCTTTGAACGAATTGAGAAGGAGACCGCCAAAGTGGAACTGGCAGTAAATGGCGAAAAGACCAAGCTGATGGTATCAACGCGCAAGACGTCCAGTAGACTCGGAGCAACTGTGGAACTTGAGAACTACAGCTTCGAGGTAGTTAAAGATTTTAATACCTTGGTACCGCCATAAATAAAACGAATGACATCAGTTTTGAAATTTGGAGAAGGATTGTGATGGCCAACAGATGCTACTATGTTCTATGTAAGCAGATTAGAAACAAGGCCACATCCACTTGCGCAAGGAAATGAGGTAGCTCTTGGGGTGTTTTGAAAGAAAAATTCTCCGAAAGATCTACGTCGACGGTGAATATCAGCGTCGAATGAACCACGAGCTTAACTATTTATAGGCGGACATTGACATAGTCAGTCAGTGCCCCAGCTAAAAGGGCATATAAAAGCGGCCACGAATTAAATGGAAAGACCAATATTAACATATTTATGCTTTAAATGAAGTTTAAGATTTTGAAGAAAATCTGGCGTCATCTGGATTTATTACAGGAGTTGTAGTTGTTAAATACGTTAATAAGCTAACTTACCCCATTTCTGCCATCTATTGAGAATACAGGAAAACAATAAAAGAATGAAGGTACTTTCCTCCACTCATTTTACATTATTTGACACTTGTTCCAAATTTAAGCCAACAACAAATGAACCATATTCAAATGAAACAAATGAGAATTTATAAAAATTTTGACGCCCGAAATAATGATCTCTGTACAAATTAACGACCACCAAAATCAAAACAAACACATGCACTCTCTCTCGCTCTCCCCAACAATCAAAATGGGAGGCATTGTACAATTAAATAAATAAATTGGATTTTTAACAAAATTACAACCAAGAACACTTTTATTTAATTTATAGTTTATTTGCAATAAATGAAATTACAATAATTAACAGGCTTTCTTCAATTCACAACTATATATTTACATATATTTAAATTTTAACAATTAACGAGAACAATTCACGGCCGGCTGACTATTAAAATGATTGACAACTGAAGGAAGAGACAAATAGGAAAACAGTGTTGCTAATACTGTACAATAAAAGCATGGCAATAATGAAAAAGCGCGAAATGTGCGATCTTTTGAAAAATAATTTAAAGTTGTTGTTGTTGTTTATATTTACATAGTTGGGAAAATACCAACACGATGTATAAACTTATGTTAAATTTGTAGCTTTCGATGATATACGTAGTGGTTTCAAAAGTAAACGTAAATAAACACACATATAATTTTTTTCTTGATATAACGTTTTTTATTATAAAGTCTGAACGTAAACAGTATGTGTGAAACATTAAATCATTTAAAAGGCCATCATGCGAACTATTGCAGGCAAGTATGGATTCTCACCATAGGCTCAATGTTGATTTTTAAGTGCTCAAGAGTTGAAGGCTTATCTGCATATATACTGTATTTCTTTCGAGAAAGGAAATGCCTCTTGCATAAAGCAATATTCGCTTGATTTGTGTGGCATGTGTTGAAACAACATTTTGTCCATGTGGTTAGTCTTCAATAGCAGTCTCAAAAAGTTGGTTATTATATGACCATAGCCTCCCAATTGGGAGTGCACCAAACCATATTCTCCTCTTAAAGCACGATATGTGGCGTAGCAAGATTTTAAATGCCATTCTATCAACTGAAAAAAAATTGGTTTAACAACTTAGTTTGACTTATGCCGAATTCCAGTCCCAAGCTTCTGAAACCACGAAATAGCTAAATTTTATAAGAATTATTATTACCAGGAGTCGAGTTAAAAATTGTTTTGAGGACAGGGCTATCTATAGCAACGAACATATATTCTCTATCTGAATTGAGGCCTTATGCCTTTTTTTCATCTTTTTCATATTTTCATGAGCCGTAAATTAAATACCACAAGACGAGATATAAAGTTTTCTGAGCAAGGATCGGGTAAAAGTGAAAAAGAACAATGAAACCATACGTATACCGA